AGGGGGACGGAGCACAGAAGCGCCGCCGCGGGCCGGCCGGGGGCGCGCGGCGGGAGCAGTGACTCCTCCCGGGATGTGGGTGTGAGCGGAGAGGCGGCAGTGTGTGTGTCACTGGCCCGTCGCCCGGTGCGGACTGAGCCCTGAGAGCCGGCTGCCAGCATGTGTCACAGTGTGTCGCGGCTTGTGAGGGCGTGTGTGTCCCCATGGGGGAAACACTGCGTGTAATAAGTTGCACACATCCCAGCACATACTTCTCATTTTACAGAAGAGAAGGCCAAGTGCAGAGGAGGAAGAGGGCCAGCCCGGTGGCACAAGGCTGGACTCCTGGCTGCCTGCCCCGAGCCCGCGCCCCGCCCCTGCGGAAGCTCCGAGCCAGCCGCGTGTCCCACAGGGCCAGGGTCAGCGCTGGGGGCCCACCTCCCCTCCCCTCACACACAAACCTAGCTCCCCGGTCACTGCCCCCCAAACCCGCACCATTCCTCAGGACTTCAAGTACTCTTCTTCAGAGGGAGGGAAAGCCCCTCGCACCAGAGTCATGGCTAACAGTGACTCACACAGACCACATAGGGAGACTCAGACACACACCTGGATAGACTCACACATGGAGACACACGCCAGCACACATATAAGGGACACTCTCGTTAATGGGACACCAAGCCTGGAGAGCCAGCAGGCGGTTTGCAACGTGGTGGCAAGGCTTGGAGAGGTCTCTTGGTGAGATGCCCCCGTCCCTGCCAGGGGCGGGGAGCAGAACGGACTGGAGACCACTGAACCTTCCTTCTTAGAGTCTCCGGCTTCCTGCAGTGGCCGCGAGGATGCGGCCCCAGGAGCCAGAGTGGGGACATGGCACTGGAAGCATCGCCAGACACGGAGTGGGGACCTCTGAGCTCCCAGGGCGCACCCTACCCATCAGGTGGATCCTCACCTTGAGCTCTCGCCTCGGGGACCTACCGTCCCAGCTCTGGGTAGCCATAGCCCCAGCTGTGCCAGAGACCTCAGGGAGGCGACCCTGGCCATTCAGCGCCCGCCAGCCTTCCTGGCTGGGCTCGAATCTCCATGCCGCCACCTTCCCCGCTTCACCTCATAATTGGGTGGTGGCTCTGAGACAAGGACCCTGCCTGCGGGACGGGGCGCATGAGTCTGTCACTCTTGACAACTATGGCTCCCAGGGCCCAAAGCACATGTTTGCAGAGGGCTGGCAGTGCTGGGCTTGCTAGAAATCTGGGCCACCGTGTCCCTATGGCGTCCCCACCTGTGGGACAGAGAGGACACCATGCCTTGGCTAGGCCTCCCCAGGGAGCGTAGACTCTGAAGGGATGTGCATCTACCACAGCCACTGGGTTCTCAGCTCCCAAGACACTGGGGAGAGCTGGGTGAGGAATTTTTTTAACTGGAATGACTCTGGTTTGCATAACCAGAGCCTCCAAATTACTAAGCAAAACATGTTTGCTTTTTAATTAACATGTGCTTGAAAAACAATGGTTTTAATTAAAGTGAGTGGGGGAGAGAAGGGATGGTGGGGGAAAATATTTCAAGGAGCTCCAAGTCCCGGGCCAGACTTCTTGAAAATAGAGCAGGAGCCTTGCTTCGAGCCAGCAGAGGCGGGGAGGCCAGGACCTCGGGAAGCCCAGCCCGCCCCCACCTGCCTCTGTGCCTCTCCGGCACCTTGCTGAGAATTTGCCCTTTTGCTTCTCACTTACCCAGTGTTCCCTGCGCTCCTCTGGGATGGGGCGGGCTTTTAGAAAGCAGTCGTGGTGGGTAAAGGAACGGGGGTCCACAAGGTGTACGAGAGAGGGGACGGCAGGAGCAAAGACCTGAGCATGGAGGTCTTCTCGGGGGAACATTCAGTTTACCAGGGAGAGAGAGAGAGAGAAGAGGTGGGGGGCGTGGCCCACAGAACATCCAGATTCTCCCAGACCCATGGACCGGAAGGGTAGGGCTGGCCCCAGATGCCCAAGCCCCAGGGAGATGGGGAGGGGGTCGCTGAGCTAAGGACAGGTACACAGGGGTGAAAGGGAGGGTGACGCCACTTGGGGGAGAGAGATTGACAGAGGAAGGGGAGGGGCAGTGAAGACTAGAAGCGGGAGGTGGGCTGGGGCCTGGGAGCTTGCAGGTTGGAGGCTGATGGGTGGGGCTGCAGGTTTGATCCGTCCAGCAGGGGACAGCGTTTGCCCCATCATCCGGCATGCAGGAGGCACCCACCCAGTGGGTGCTCAGTAAATGCTTGAGGAAGGGTGAGAAGGAGATGGTCGCTCTCCAAGTCGGCCACCCCTTCTTCCCTTTCTGATTTTTTGGGGCCAGCACTGGGGTGCAGGCCAAGGTCAGAGGCCAGCGTTGAGGTGGGACAGCACTTCCACCCCCTCGCCCAGACAGCAAAGGAAGATTGACAGGAAGCCTCTGGGTAGTGAGGATACCCCAGGGGTCGGGTCAGGTGGCCCCAAACCCCCAGCTCCCAGTGGCCCCACTCAGGACGCTGTTCCTCATTAGGGGCCTCCTAGCCTCCCCCACCCCACATGAAACGTGCCTCCCTGTACTTAATTCATCATTTTCCGCCTGGGTGGGAGGCTTGAGGGGGTTATTTTTTCCCCTGAGCTCAGACATTCCTAGCTTTATTATTCTCCACATTTCAAAGCAGCTGTCGCCTCCCCTAACCACCCCCAGCCCCGAAGCTCAGAGTCCAAAAGGGGCCTCTCCAGAGCTCAGAACACCAGAGGCTCCCTCACTCCCTGCCCAGCACAGGAGGGAAACTGAGGCCCAGAGACAGAGCCCCAAGGTGACCTGCAGGGACCTCCCGCCACAGGCTGCACCTGAACTGACCTCTCCTCAAGCTTGGATTCTCCTATGTACCCTTCTCATCACCCTCCCATGACCCTATATTCTTTGCCTCTGTTTGTCCACACTGGGCCACCTTCCACGCAGGTGACTTAAGGGGCCCCCGCTACAATGCAGAGAGAGCCATTGCCTCCCCACTCCTGGAGCAGGTGCTAGGACAGTTCTCAAGGTCCCTGCCCTGCTCAGAGCCCTAACAAAGTGAGCCCCCAGGTCAGAGGGCAAGCCCATCCTGGAGCAAGAGATCAACCTAGAAAATAGCCGGAATGGGGGCAGCCTAGTGGACCACTGAGGGGCCACATGCAAGGGGAGACAGTTCTAAGGACCCAGTTTTGGAGTTTGGAAGAACTAGAGAGGCCCCAGGAAGATTTGCTCCCAAAATCAGAGAGCTGCGCGGTCTAGCAGAGCGGCCTCGACAGAGGTGAACTCCCTGTTTGCTGGGGGTGTTCGAGCAAGTAGTAGCTCGCCAGACTTGCCACAGAAAAGAGGTTGGCTCAGGTGTCTGAGGCCCCCTCCCGCCCAACTTCAAGGTCAGAGTCTGGGGCTGGCAGGCACAGTACCCACTCCAGATCAGTGGAATAGGGGTCCCTCCTCTCTTAGCTGGGGTGGCTAGACAGGTCTGGAAGCACAGGCCAAGGACATGGGAGCTGGGCCAAGGCCAGAGCAAGACCTGGCCAAGGCATTTTCTTCATTAAGTCACTGCAATTTCCTGGCACCTGGTGGAGTGTTGGGAGCACAACAGACATGCCATCACTGTGTCCTGACGAGTTACACGGGTCCTGACCCCGGCCCTGCTCAGAGCGCTGGGGGTGGGAAGCAGCCTGCAGGAGTTGGGGCCTCCACCTAGGGGAGGGACTCTGACCACAGGGGAAACTGAGGCAGGAGCCCACATGGGGCACACAACCTGGGGGTGCCGAAGACTGAATTTGCTGGTCACTCCTGACATTCCGTGACCATCTTGCCCCTGCTGACCCTACAGCCAGGCACGTCCGCCCCAGGTATAGGGCTTGACCGGTGGCTCCTTGGGTGCCCAGAAGTGTAGGTGTCCTGTAATGTGACCCTGGAGGGTTCTCGCCAACCACATCCAGGGCCTGCCCGCACCTCCAGGCCTACCCCAGGGACCCCTTACCACAAGGAAGGCGCCCTGTGGGGCACAGACTGCACAGAGCCTGAGTTCCTGAGAGGGAGCAGCTGCTAGCTGACCCAGAGCCACCTCTGCCTAGAGCTATGAATTATGGGTGTGTCACCCTGTTGGGGGCTCCCAGCTCAGGGCCCTTCCACTCGGGCCAGGCCGTGAAACTCCTGGGATGTGCCCAGCTTCCCCTCTCGTCCCTCAGCCCCGAGCACTGTTTCTCTTCCCCAGGATAGAAACTGCGGACTGTTCGCCTTCCTGCCACAGCACCATCCCATCCCCACTTAGGTACGAGACGTCACTGCCGCTGGCCTCCCACCTCTGATGCACGCTCCACAGGTGGGAACAGGTATGGCCATCCAGTGGTTGGGGGACACTCGGAATCTCA